GACCAATTAAGCTACCGCGGCCCTGGCGGCCGTGTCGAATTCTTTCTAGCCTTTCTGAAGCTGCAAAGCAGCTCCATCTCTTCGCATTGCAGGTAACCCGCAATGTCAAATGAATACCTTTACAAGTTTTAAACATTTGAAAGAAGTAATAGCTATTATAGTTATATTTTTTATTTTTAAAGCATGTAACTGTTCGATATTTAAATCTAAAATATTACTAAAAAAAACAAGCGGATCAGGCAACTCGAACCCGCACCCTTCGATTTCCGGGCATTTGCAATGCATTTCATTGATCAATTATGCTACCGCGGCCCTGATGGCCGTGTCGAAGTTTTTCTAGCCTTTCTTAAGCTGCAAGGCAGCGGCATCTCTTCGCATTGTAGGTATATGTCAGGTACTTGCACCCAAGAAGGTTCTTTCTTGGGAACAAGTATCTTCGAGCCGTACTCGGTCGTGTCAAATTAATTTAATTACTGTGAAGCATAGAGCAAAGAGGCCATGTCGGCCGTGTTGCTCTATACTGTTTAGGCAATAGAAAAAGTGTAACCTTCACGTAACAAAGTGGTACCGCTTGTTTACTTCCCCCATATAAGTACTAATTCGTTTTCAATTTCATTTTTGAAGTTAAGTGGTCGTGTTCTTATTTAATGCGCCCTACAATCTTCTACTACGGAAAATAGCTCTCGATATTTACACCAAGCTATGGAAATACAATTTCAGAAAGTGAAATTCTATAGAATTAAATACTTACGCGGCAACTTTCGTAAATGCCCGTTTTGTTTAATGTATATGTACAAATTTTTAGTCATCCATCGTATCCTAGATGTTAAAAATTTGATTTTACTAAACTTTAATTACATCGCCCCAATTTTTTTCGTTCATCTTTATTAAATCGCATTACCATTTCAATTGTTATTAAAAATCAGACATTTTCAACAAGTTTCGTTGGTTAAAATGACAATTGCCACTTTTAAAAATGAATAGCAGAACTTGATCTGATATTTTCGTCTACAGAATTAATAAAAAATACGCGAAATGTGGTTGGTACGCATACATAATATGTCATTGTATCGTGTGGGCGATTTTCATTCTAAAGGATGTTCAACCGTAATTGAACAATACACTTCATGATATTTGCACGGAGATGAGTGTACTTTATTCGGTTTAGTGGATTGTCGTCCTTGTATAGCCCGTGTACGAAAATAAAATGATCGTCCAGGGCGATGTACGATAAGAGAGTATTGTAATGGAAAAGTGTTCAGAAATCCAAATGCATATCTAATAAAGTTGTTATTAAAATTCTTTAATATCTTGAGTAATAATACCTAGTGTATAAATATCATTAATATAGTAGTCACACAGTAGCGAAGCTGGGTCTTCATATGTTTTTAAATTTATTTCGTAATTAGGAATATAGTAGTCACGCTACTGTAGTGAAGTTTGGTCCATTATATATTTTATTTATTTATTTCTTGATTAGGACTATGATGTCCGAAAAAAATAGTGAACAACTTGTAGATCGCCTTCAATAGTTTTTGAAATTTGGTGACTCATTTCTTTGTCCCAATATCCGCAAATGAAATGCTTTGCCCGCTCACGTGTTCCCTTCCTACTGCAACCTGGGATCCATTCAAAGAGGCGTGAAGAAGCCTGAAGCAATATGCAGGCCGGCAAGCTGGGGATGGCTGGTGGGGCAGGAAGAACTGCTGTACCAGCTATGTTCACGTCTGAACTCCACCATCATTAAACATCAAAAGTTTAATTTGTCGGACTTTATTATAAAAACAAAACACTAAAGCATCAATGTCGACTGCAGATGGTAGCTGGCACCAACGGCCTAAACGTGCTTTCTGAAACACGAAGCAATAAAAGAAAATAATATTTATGCTCAAGTGTAAGTAGATAGGTCCCATTAAGGCAATTAATTATTACAATCCAAAAACGAACAAGCATTTATTAAACGTACGCAGCAACAATATTTAAGATTTTATAATAATTATTAGATATTTTATAATTCTATTGGCAATCTGATGCACAGAATCATAAACACACTCCTATGAATATAAATAATGATGAAACATTATATTGTGGGACCGGTTGTTGACCTAACCGAGAATTGGTTATATAATAACTCGGGTGACTTTTGTAAATATGAGAACGAGTGCATCGGTTGCGTATACGCGAAACACATTTGTATATTATAGGGTGTGTAATATGCCTATTTATTTACAAAGGAAAATATGTTAATTGTTGGTAGTTTATTTTTATAAGCACTTTACCGTCGTATTACTAGTTCATAATTATGTTGTAATGCAGAGATTTCATACGAAATACTCGTTAACGTTTTTGTAGTTTGCTGTAAAATAGATGATTTTAAATAAAAGGGTTATGTTAAACTTATGCCATTTTGGGCTTAACAACCTCTCCTACTAATATTATTAATGTGAAAGTTTATATTATCTGTGTGTTTGTATGTTAGTTACTCAATCACGCAAAAACTACTGAACGTATTAAGATGAAATTTGGTACGCATATAGTTTATGAGCTGGATTGAGATGAAATATTCTTTTTATCCCAGAAAAATGTTAGGTTCCAGTGGGATTCCGAAAATACTAAAGTTAACCCGGACGAAGTTGAGGTCGGTCGCTAGTTATTTATAATTTGTAAGGTTGTTTTTAAATTATGATTTCGATCATAAACAGTTATAAAATTGAGGTTAATACAAGAATTTAATTTATCTGCTGGACTGGCACAAGGAAACACTATCGTGATCATATAACGAAATACTATGTTCATGATCGTGCGGTAGTTGAAATTTGAATAAAAAGTAATATCTTAAACGAACTTTTTTACCATAAATGTTGCGTAGCTGACTGAGGAGGGTAACACCCGAGGCTAATAGGTTTACATCTGACCGTTGAGAAACTGATACTAATTAAAAAAATAACGAGAAAATAAAACAACCTTTATAGTGTATTTCAAAAGGTAAGTATAAACAATGAACAAATAGTCTAGACAGGCATGTAACTACATCAATAAGTTCCCATTCCCACGAATTTATCTTAAATCTTGTTAGAAATAATAATGGGAATGGTATTGATAAAATTAAATAGAAAAATACTACTGAGCGTTCCTTAATAAGACCACTTTAAAATGCGTATTAAACAAAGGGAATTTTCACAATGTGGAATCTTCTTTATTTTTTCCTTTCTATCTCTTAATCTTAAAAAAGGACTAGAATAAATTCCACGCTGTCCAGGCAGCAGTCGGAACTCGAACCCGCAATCTCCGTTATTTGAGCGGATGCATTCACGACCTTAGTGACCGTGTCGAATTTCTTGTAGTATTTCTTAGGCTGCAAGGCTTTTTAGGGTTTATTGATTTGATACGCTTCCAACCCCGAAAAGGCAAGGTATAAGGCATATGTATGCAGGTTTTAATTAGAATTAAAAATAATGAGAACAGATCAGTAAGGTAAAGTTTACTAGAAAAAAATCCACGCGGACCAGGCAGCAGACGGGACTCGAACCTGCACCCTTTCCGTCTGCTGCCTGGTGGTGGTATTTTTTCTACTAAACTTTTCTTTAGATTTAAACATCTAGCAGTTAAATGCTTAAAAAATAAAAAATAAACAATTAATATTTATCAGATCAGTAAATCAAAATATTGGGTAAGTGATGGTCTCACGCAAGGATCGTTTAGTAAGCGAAATATTTTGCGTCATATTACAGATTCTCACTCTGTATATATATATATATATATATATATATATACTAGCAAACCAGTGAACCAAATGTTCACAAAAAAAAAATGTATTTAATTAATTGAGAACTTCGGAGATTTTGTGTGGTTTCGTTTGAAATAGAAATCACGTGATTTCTCGAAAACCGGAAGTGCTACGTTACTCACATCCGGTTTGTAGTCTTATCAGACTATTCTCAACTTATAACTTAAACATTCTCTTTATCTATCTCTTACGGTTTGGCCGCTGAAACAGCACCACGGAGGGACGGACGGACTTGTCTAATAGATAAGAGATAGCCAAAATGAATAACGTAGGAGCGATGTTATTTAATAAAACTTGTGCGTTTGTTCGGAATTTTATTCTGACAATATTAGCCGGGTTTAACAAACATTGCCTCGCCTATACAAGGTGATAATATTTGTTATTCAATCCTTACACGAAATTTGGATTCTCAACTCAATGCAGCGTGCAGCATTAATGAACAAATAGACACTAATGAAATCCATTACAAGCTATAGTGTTTAGTAGTTAGTTAATAAACTATCAATTTGGGTAAATTAAATGAACCTAATTTATAAGTTTATTATGTACTCCTACGTTCCAGTCTGGTATGATGATAAATAGATTCAAAATCACCATAATACATCAACAAGTGTGCAATTAATTTCAGTTTCGAGCAAGTAATTAATTTCATTAGTGGCACATTTCGCATCGCGTAAAAGGTTAAGTTCGGCATCTTGTATATATAACTCTTAAGAAACTATATTAATGTCATCATCATCAGCCTATTAATGTCCCCACTGCTGGGGCACAAGCCTTCCCTATGGATGGAATAGGGAGATTGGGCCATGACCAACCACGCGGGCCCAGTGCGGATTGGCTGGTGCTAACGACTGCAGATGCAGCCGGGACCAACAGCTTAACGTGCCTTCCGAAGCACGGAGGAACTCGAGATAGATGTTTTTGGTCACCCATCCAACGACTGACCACTGCGAAAGTTGCTTAACTTCAACCATCGCAGCCGAACGCGCTAACCACCTGCGCCATCGAGTTCCTCTATATTTATGTGCAAGTAGTAAATAGTAGTAGTAATTACAAATACAATTACTTATGCACAACAAAAGCCAGCATTGGCAATTAAAGAGCTGGCGAACAAAACGGTATAATTACGCATCCGGTCAAACTGCTTTTATTTTTACAAACCGGATGTTTCGGGCCCATTGAATTTGAATATCAAATAATTTTCAATCAAAACCGCCTGAAACAGTGTTGAAATTACTAAATTTATAAATTAAAAACCATGCCGAAAGTTCACTGGAGGTATGTCATTCAGTTTTATACAGCTCCTGTAAAATTTAATTTTATGTAATTATACCGTTTTGTTCGCCAGCTCCTTAGTTATAGTTCATATTTGTTTCTTAAGTTTTCACGCACACCACTCATTAAATGAAAATAGTTTTTTCAACTGGTTTAAAATGCGTTTTAATACTTTTTCTATAGAACTCGACGTTTTGAAAGACTTGTTTTATTTAATTTATAATACATCTGGCAACCTGATTTGCATCAAAACTATTGTCTGTCTGACATGCTTACCTACATGGAAAAAAAAGTAGGCCATCCCTACTGTATAGGATTTAATCGTCCTTGAACCAAAACCGCAAAATGTCCCACTAGGATAAACCTTCTTCCTCTCTGAGCACTTGTCCCATCGCCGACTCATCGCTGAACTATAAGTAGTACCATAAGCGAGTGTTCGAGTAAGTACGATGGGCGATTACTCGCGCAATTCACTCTCGGAAACAATCCTGATCTAAAATGCACGCGCGCGCTTTTAGAGACAATCGAGTATTGCTGAGCGAGTATTATCTTTGATAGCTCCCGTCGTTCAGTGCCAAACTAGTGGAGAGAGCTCTCGCCGGCAGTGAGCGATCAACATTTACTATATGCATCTCTTTTGTTAACATTGAATGTACATCTTTTGTACGTTTCTTGAGCAAGAGAATAGCTTATAGCTAATCGCTTCCTCGCCGGCGGTGGTACAACTGCCCTATGTTGTGATATTTTATTTCTTCTTGTTGGACCAATCCGCTAGCTATCTGAATGTGCGTCAAATCTACAAATCTAAGATGTTTATGTTTTGTTTACAGCCAGTATGCCGACGCCGGTGTACAGTGTGGAGTTGGAGTTGGGGGAGCCACCTCCACAGCTGCAGGAGTACGCGCGCCAGCACTGCGGGGAGGATCCCAACACCCGTCTGAAAGCGGTCTGCGAGCTCAGAGATCTCGTTTATGGTCAGCAGATATTTTAGTCCCGTTATTATTTAGGCTTCTCTTTATCTATCTATTTTGTTTATTGTTAAATTATGCGGGCCCACAGGAACAGCAGTTGGGATATCAAGAAAGAAAGGAAAAGATAGAAGAAAGAAATGTTTGACGATTATGACTTCTCAGTAAGTTAAAGGTCAACAAAAGGTGTTGACGGACTGTTGTTGTAGGATATTTTACTGAAAGGGCGGGCGGGATAATATATTAGCTTGTCTTTGTGTAGTATCGCAACGAAAAGAAGGACAAATATATTGCATCGGTCATATGTGTTCATTAAAACAACCACCGTTACCAAGAGACCTTAAACCTACAGAGAAGTCATTATCGTCAGCCATCTGATGTCCTTACTGCTGCTCCTGCAGGAGGACAGGCCGCCTTTTTGAATAAGATTACGGTTCCAGGACTTCCAGGGCTCCACGGGGTAGGGGATTGAATTCGGGCCGACAAGGTGAGGATGACTGGAGTGGCACACTTTTCTTACCATCAGACGGGGCTGGGTTAATTTGTTGGGACTCGAATAAAAATAAATTTAGGAAGAACGGACCTTCACGCCAGGCATAGTGCAGATTGGAGTTAGTAATTATTCTGTAGTTAACTGCATATAGGGTTACCATCCGGCCGAATTTGTCCGGATATGTCCGGACTTTGTGCCCTTTGTCCGGCTTTTTTTAACTAGGTGGAATATGAGTAAAACTACTTATTTAGTTACATCAAATAAGTCAAAGAATGATTTTATTTATTTTTTAAGCATTTAACTGCTAGATGTTTAAATCTTAAGAAAAGTTTACTAGAAAAAATCCACGCGGACCAGGCAGCGGACGGGACTCGAACCCGCATCCTTCGCTATCCGGGCGAATGCACTGACCATTATGCTACCACGGCCCTATTCGCCGCGTCGAAATTTTCCTAGCCTTAAGCTGCAAGGCAGCGTCATCTCTTCGCATTGTAGGTAACCCACAATGTCAAATGAATACTTTTTCAAGTATTAAACATTTGAAAGAAGAAATAGCAATTATAGATAGGACTTTATTTATTTTTTAAGCATTTAACTGCTAGATGTTTAAATCTAAAGAAAAGTTTACTAAAAAAAAATCCACGCGGACCAGGCGAATAGGGCCGTGGTAGCATAATGGTCAGTGCATTCGCCCGGATAGCGAAGGGTGCGGGTTCGAGACCCCTCTCGCGATGTGAGCGTCTGCTACCACGCGCATAATATCACTGTAACTAAGTGGGTGATGTTTGCATTTTGTGACTAAAATGTCCGGACTTTTATCGAAACGTCCGGCTTTTTGTCAGAACTTTTCAAAATTTTAAATAGTAACCCTAACTGTATAAAATAAGAACCAATTGCCTAATCCGTCCGCTTTACGAAACACAAGATGGATTTAAGATAATAGATTTTTGGCCATCATTCTGATGACATTGTTGCATAACTTTCACAATCGCTGATCGAAAGCGTTCTCACTGCACCATTGAGGTCCTCTGCCCAAGGAGTATTTTAAACAAATTCACAATACTAATGGCGCGATTACATTTCGTCGGTAGCCCGAATACGAGTGCCATTGGAATTCGGGTAAACGCCTAAGTGTACACGAACGGAGTCGAGTACGTCCGTATTCGGGTAGATTTCCTTTTGTTCGCCCGACACCGTCTTCTAGTGTAAAAACTGCTTCGGGTGCCCGAATTTGAGTAATCCGGGCTAAAGACTAAATGCGGCATATGGATGATGACCATTTTTTTCTTCTTCATCTATCAAGTAGCAAAAAGTATTGGGCGCGTATATTTTCTATATTCACAGAGATATATTGATTTGGAAGTCGCATAACGTCTCAATTTGGTACATTTTTTTATTTTTAGAAGTGACGTCACCTACCCGCACTCCCAAACTTTAACGAGCTTTATCTTTATATATTTGAGTTGACTAGCAAAAGAAGAACAAAAGTGTCCTTTGTTTTTTGATAATCTAAGTGACGGACTAAATAGAATTTCATTAAATTCACCCTGTCAATATTTCTTATTGAACAAATTCAGTTAGTTGTCGTAAAGACACTTCCATGGGCACTAGTTTTTTTATACACATCTATGAAACGGGAAATGACATATTGTTTTATTCTAACGGTTAGCGGTACTTAGCCATTACGACATCATAATCCGGTGCCTTATTATGTATAACCTAGTTCGATCCACAAAATCTATGTAACCAACTTATTTAACCAATGTAATATGTATTATTATATTAACTATAATAATATTATATTAACTTCGGCTAAAGTGATAACAAAACTCTAAATTAAATTATAAAGTGTTCTTTATCAGTCAAATGTTTAATGGCTTGTTTGCAACATTGACACTATAAATTAACTTTATACGAGCATATCTCTCGAGACATAAACAGTAGCGAATGACAAGAAGTTTATTGCGCAGGGAGTTTCATTAATTAAAGTTACATTACCAACAGCTTTGTCCAACATGTACTTAAGTAATGCTAAATGTCATTTATTGGCGTAGAAATGAGCATTTTTTTTGCTAATAAACATACTTTGCAGAATTATTGGTTTACACTGCTGGTTCTGCGCCACCTAATGTTAAGTTCAAGTGAAGAGTTAGTACAAAAATAGCATAGATTACCTAGCACACATAGAAATCTTGATTTATTTCTGTGGATAGTACCTAAGGTGCCTTTGAAATAACAAGAGTGCATTCATTTGAACTAGAAATATCGCTGCTATAACCATCCAATGAGGAGCTCGATGGCGCGATTGGTTAGCGTGTTCGGTCTACGATCGTGGAAGTTAAGCAACTTTCACAGTGGCTGACCATATGGGGATACCAAAAGTTCTTTCGTGCTTAGGAAGGTACGCTGTCCCGGCTGTATCTGCAATCGTTATACCACAGAAATATATCAATATTTCTAAGCACCCACCATTCTGCACAGGGCCACATGCCCGCTATTCCATCTATAGAAAAGACCTGTGCCACAGCAGTTGGGACATTAAGAAGCTGATGATGAACCTTACCCATGCAATAATAAAGTAGGTTTTTATAACCAATCACATTAAACCGCGTGGCCTTAGCTGGACAACGACGCCAACATTACCCAACAATTAAAATCAATTCTCCGGATCGAATCCCTTTGAGTACCTAATACAACGATATTTAATATCGTTAACCTAATAACTAAAAGACTCCAGTTGTCAATAATGACATCACCCTAATTGAAGGCTTTTACGCGTTCATCTCACGTCGTGAGTCACGACACAGAACTCCGGTATATAGATACTTCAATTATTACCCTATTCTCTTTGTTGTGAATTTCACCACAGTTATGTTATGCCACTATAGGGAAGATTTATGATACTGATAAACAAAATAATGAAATTTTTGAAAACAAAAACAGTACATAAATTATTATCAAGATTTATAATAATTCAAAGCCATGGCTGGAATGAAACAAGTGCAGTATAAACAAAACTTACTATTTAAGGAAGCTTAGCAAGATTTGAGCAGGAGCACTTTTTAATGCAAATAAGCAATTTCTTTACACAAAATATTTATTAAATTTAAATTATGCTGTAGGTTTCCTTATGATTTACAGTAAACTTTTGAAAGTTGTTGGCACCTTAATGCGCTCCTAACATAAAATTAAATCTAATAATACTACATCTGATATTTAACTACTTAAATATATATTTATAAACACAATTCTTTTATATAATTTTTCGTTTCGTTTACAAGATCTAAGCAATCATTAGTCCATGAAAGCATCTAATTCATAATTTTTCAACTTATTTTTGAATACGTTTTCACTACAGCAATTTTCTTCTCTAAATAATTCGTTATAATATTTTTGGCATTAAAACTTTCTTGTTCCTTTTGTCATAAACATTCTTCTGATATCTCTACTCTACTCTCTGATATATCTTTTTTGCTTTGTCTGTTTACAAGATACTTTAAAATTCGTTTTTGTATTTTGCATATTTTATCTAAATACGATCTAAAAGTTAATCCTAAAGCAGCTACGCCATAGCTAAGAATTGAATCAGCCAAAGCATAATACAACATGAATAAAGTTTCTCTGCTTACTATTTACATACATTTTAAGTTATTAAATTTATACAACTCACATCTTTAATTTATTACACACAATATCAACATGCGATCTCCAATTAAAATTACAATAAGCCCTAGGCACTTATATTCATTGACAAACTCTATTTTTTTACAATTACAGTTGATTTTATTGTTATGTATGTATTCATAAGTGTGCGCAATTATATTCAGCCTTTTAGGTTCTTTTATATATGGGGATTTCATGATCTTACAGTTGGCTTTTGATATATTAAGAATTATACCATTGTCATGTGACCATTTCAGAACATTTTCTAAATCTGCTTGAATTGAATGAATCCTTCTCAGTGCAGGAACAAACTGCATAATTAAAACCTTGATTGTGCGAACCTTTATTTGCCGGTTTTATATATTTATCTGACGTGTTGTGTCATGACGGATAGTATCCCGAGATGTGTCGTCAGACGGTCGCTACTTCGGCCCTCTCACCTGCACCTCTCTGATGCGATCGGAATCTCTTCTGATGCGTCAAATCAGAAGCCATCACAACACATTGCGACACAGAAGTATAAATCTCACCGTAGGTACTAAATATATGAAACCGATACCGCTTTGACGCGTCACGACACAACACGTCAGACAAATATAAATCCGGCATCACAGCAGTCTATCTCTAGGAAATATTCTTGTTAATTTATGTCTATGAGAGTATACGCTCAAACCTCATAGCTTTACTTCTATTCTTAAGTTAACCCCTGGTCTGTGTAGCTCACGGGTGTAGCTCCACTTTGTTTATCACGGCAGGAAAAAAAATTCGGCGGTTTTTTTTATTATTCGATTTCTACTGTACGTCGAGGCTTCATTTATGTCTTAAATCAATCCTAGAAGAAGAAAGAAGTCTCTCTATAAATCACGACACAGAACTCTGGTACAAGGATATTTATCCTTGTATCCTTGTCATTCTCTATATAGGATGAAAATACTGATGTCAAGTTTAGTTTTAAGTTTAGAGAATCATGCCAGAATTGACACCATTACATGTGTGAATAAAAATCCATTACTAAATATGATTAAACGCAAAATATGAAAAATGAAAATAATTTTCACAACTCGTGGCAGAAATAATCCACTTACACAGACGAGGGGTTTATTATGAGAGCTGCAATTTTTGTAGGGCAAACTATGGCTGAAAGGTAATTTCCCAAATCGGCGCTCCAATTCGGGCAGGAAATCCACTATGCCCCTGATGTGAAAAATATAAAACGTACAGTAAGTGCACATTTTAGATTTCCCGTGAAATACTATTGTTTCTTTTGTAATGTCATGAGCCGAGACGTTCTCAGACATTACTATAATGCCGCCAATTTGGCTATATCACAAAAACATAAACTATACCTACTTGCAATATTTAGATTAGTTTGGATATTCTCTTCTATAGTAATTTGGTTCGGCTTTAGGAACTTCAGATTCAATAAAAAAATGCAACATTTCGCTAGCTAAAATCCGGATGATTTTTAATTTTTTCTTTCCATATGTATAAATAAAATAATGCCTCTGCAGAGTCCATTTTTAAAACTGATAACATTCATTTATCAGTTTGATCTGACTAATATTATAATGTGAAATATAGAATGTTTGTGTGTGTTGAATGTCTGTTACTCAATCACGCAAAAACTACCGATTTGGATGAAACGTGGTAAGCATATAGTTTATGAGGAGGATATCAAGGAGCTCGATGGCTGGCTACGATCGTTGAAGTTAAGCAACTTTCGCAGTGGTCGGTCATTGGATGGGTGACCAAAAATTTACTATCTCGAGCTCCTCCGTGCTTCGGAAGGCACGTTTAGCCGTTGGTCCCGGCTGCTTCTGCAGTCGTTAGCACCCATCCGCACAGGGCCCGCGTGGTGGGTCATGACCCTATCTCCCTATTCCATCCATAGGGAAGGCCTGTGCCCCAGCAGTGGGGACCTTAAAAGGCTGATGATGATGATGATGATGATAGTTTATGACCTGGATGGAAACATAGGATGCTTTTTATCCCGGAAAACTGTTAGATTCCTGAGGCAATATCAAAAACTTACGCGGTCGAATTCGCGGGCGGTCGTTAGTACATAATAATATATTCACGGATCCTCGCAAAGTGATGCCTAATGTTATTGTGTACTTATAAGTAATACAGCTGTTGTTGTTCAATATTTCAGAACGCGGTGAATGCACTCCTCACAGGATGGATGACGAGTTTCTGATAAGGTTTCTGCGCGCGCGCAACTTTATACCACAACGGGCGCATCGCCTGGTAAGTGCAAATTTATCTTTGTCGTGTCATCAAATTGATTGAACACGGTATGTTGAGTAAGCGGAAAGTTAATGTATTTGCCTATACGTACATAAACTTATTATGTACGTACTGTACAGTCGACGCAAAGCTGATAAGTGTAGCTAATATTAAGATTTTCATTCACTGTGTTCACTTTTTGCATTTGATTGATTTTGACGTAATTTGATTAAAACCATAGTCAACATTGAATTTGACATTTTACTTTTTCTCATCTGTCCAATGTTAATATTGAATGTACAAAATGTTTAATATATTATTGAATACTAGCTGGCCCAGCGAACTTCGTACCGCCATAAAAAATAGGGGTTGGTGGAAGAAGGGTGAAAATTTAGGATTGTATGTATTTTAGTATGATGTATCATAAAAAAATAGAAATTGAAAAGTGGACCACCCTTAACATTTAGGGGGATGGAAAATAGATGTTGTCCGATTCTCAGACCTACTGAATATGCATATAAAATTTCACGAAAATCGGTCGAGCCGTTTCGGAGTAGTTCAATTACGCACACCGTGATACGAGAATTTTATATTGATAAAATTATATTATTAGAGACAGTGTAAATTTCATTACGTGTGATGTGTGTTACATTGACAACCAGCCGGATCTTCAATAAAGATATTTCTAGTGCTCGCCTAAGTGCGGCCGTGAGCTTGTATGTGTTTCTATTAGAACACTTGTACTATCATGTTTTCTGTTATTGTAATTAAACCGATAAGACTATTATCAGTATTACTGCACCTTAAGCATACCAAGAAGGTGCAACTAGAGATTTAGCTCTCGGCCATATAAGAAAATCTAGCGGCCGCCCGCAACTACGTCCGCATTAAATTTTAGTTTTTTGAGAATTCCACAGGCACCTAACATTTTCCGGGATAAAAAGTATCATATGTCTCAATCCAGGAGGTCAATTGCCTTACGGATTTGCAATGGCTATCGCTATCGCTTACGATTTCATTTTGTGTTTTTTCTGACCACTGAAGGTTTTCAAATACCACACGCTCATTTTCTTTAATATTGTTATAGAAAGAAATGAGCGCGAGGTATTTGAAAACTTTCGGCGGACAGAAATAACAAAATGTAATCGTAAGCGATAGCGACAGCCATAGGATTTTCGTTAGCGATTGACACCCATGTCATAAACTATAGCGTACCGAATTTCATAAACATTCGTTCAATAGTTTTTGCGTGATTTAGTAACCAACTTACCAATTTTCAAATATTATAATGTTAGTAGGATCACCTAGCTGATGGTGAAACCCGCATGAAAATTACTTATTAATTACATGATAATTATTTCTGTACTTTTGAGATCATCAAGTACATACATTTCTACAGAACGGCGCATTTGATTATTAAATTATGTATGGTACCACAATTGAGCTCACGTTGATTTCCACAATTTGTAGAGATGACTGTAATGCAAGTGTACCTAATAAGTTGATGCAGCCTTGACTATTACCATAATATTAGGTTCCATTACCCATTTCATTTAGTGCCTGACAGTTTATAAAGCGCCCTTTAAGAGCGAGCGCGAGGTAAGAGACACTTGAGAAATAGGTATATGAAAAAAAAACTGTCACGCAGTGGAAAATACCGTGTGATAGAGACAACAGTAGGTAATGCTGAAAATTTCGTATAAAAATTGCAAAATTAGATATATATATGTAAAAGAAATTTTACACAAAGAATAATAAGTAGCTATACTATGCCTCTATGTTTTTTTTTGTAAATGCTTAAATCACCACACTAGACGTCTTTAGTGGTGATAAAAATTTGTTTATTTTTGGCCTTTTTCGAGTGCTTCTAGTTTCTTTAAAACACAAGTTATCGAAAAAAGAAAGACATAGAAGCATAGAATGAGTAACATTATATTTAATGTATGAACTTACTACTTTAGTAATAAAAATCAAGGAGGAATCAGTCGAGAACGTTTGTATGGAAAAAACATGGCGCGTCTATACTCTTAAAACTCTTTGTGACTTATCTGAATTTGGTCACACAGTAGTTTATTATGGTCTTTTAATACTAAAATTGTGTTTAAATATATAAAAATTTGCTACTTTATTGTGGATAGCTGTTATTGTTTTCCTTTTGCGATAATTTATTAAAAGATATGGCAGACAATTTATTGAAAGATTTGACAACACGTTTTTGTGGAAATCAATACATTTTGTGTAGGTAGTTATTGGCTTTAGTTTTCCTGATCTAAATCCTTTCCATATATGAATAGAGCTCAGTACATCACTCAAGGCCAATATATCTGTAGCGTAACTGTGGTCTTCGGATTGTTTAGCATTTTCATCTTAAAAGAAGCAAACGATTCATGTGGTGTGTGAATATCGCTGTAATCTATAACGGTAACCTAAACCTATTATTGGTAATGTCATTGAACAACCTGATAAAACAATTCCTATTTAAAGAAATGACTCTCAGGTTAGGAATGAACGAAGAATACTTATGTTACCTTTTCTGAATAACATCCACATAAATAACTAGAGCGTATTAATTTCTTTATTGTCAAGGCAAATGTCTCCGCCTCTGCATAGAACCTGCATATTAAAGGTACGTAACTGAGGCGTGCGTATGTCATACATTCACCTTCCTCAGGCCTTCTTTCTATTGCTATTGTTCTCTTAAGGTCGATGTTACACTGAAGGACTTAAGAAAACATTATACATTAAACGATCAAAAGAATTATTAGATAGGAATAGAAACTCTTTTTTAACATAATAAAAGATTAATGCTAGTCATAAATTAGTTTAGGATATTCATGCTACACATTTTTTTGTGATAGCAGAAGTCAAATGCGTACATGCGTATATAAAAATCGCCAATGAGGCAGTTGACAACATCAAAGACGTCGCAGACATTTGGTATAATCATTATTATCATCAGTATAGGTCAAGTATAGTTCTCCAGTCTTATAATCTTGTTAATGTCTTCACTAATGGGACACAGGGTATTCCCTATACATAAAAAATGGGATTGAGCTATGATTACCACGCGGAATTATTGGTGTGGTGGACGAAATAAATCTTGATAAAGTAGGTAGGTAGTATAAAATAAGAAGTTTGTAACCCGGACTAAATGATACATTGGGATTCTTAAATTCTTTGCCTTCATCTAAAGAAAATTTTACTAGATATAATTTCACGCGATCCAGGTTCCCGCGAACCCGCATCTTCCGCTACCCGGGCGCACTAACCAATTATGTTACCGAGACCTTAAGGCCCATGTCGAAGTACTTCTTAAGCTGCAAGGCCACCTCTTTGCTTCAATGTTCTTTGTCTTACCTCAACCATATCTTCTGCTGTGTTGCAGATGGTGAACTATTACCAATTCAGAGAAGATAATGCAGAGCTGTACGACAATGTGTACCCTCTGGATTTGCGCACGATCGGCGACGCCAGCATCATAGCGGTGCCGCCGTATCGTGACCAAGATGGACGCCGGCTTATGATATTTAGGTTTGGTGAGTAAATTTCTTTTATTTAGATCAAATACGAATGCTCGGGTACATACTACTCTTTGTCTCTATCAGCCACGTGTAAGTGGAATCTAGTCGCAAATATATCTAAATCGTCAGAAAAGTATGTCACTCCAGTTATCTTCACATTACTGCCTTGAATTTACTCCCTTACCCCGTGGAACCCTGAAACCTTAATTACTTAAAGAAACACAAACATAAGAAGATATACATCCCAGTAGACTTCTTGAGCAACGACCATAGAGAAGGAAGCCTACGCCTTTAGCCTTTACTGCGCAAGTTTATTTGTCTGTGGTTTTGCTCAAAAAGTTTGCTGAGAACTATACCCAACTAGTGTTATTGTCTTCAGTAAGGTGGAGGTTACTTCAGCAGACGCTCCAATCCCAGTAAAATTCACTTTTAAACATTATTTTACCGCAGTCTTCTGCATTCTTCATTAACCTCTTTGTATTTAATTGTATTTAACATATTTACGATACTTCAGGTTGCTGGGATCCAAAGTCCATATCTGTGGACGAATTATTCAAGTGCACTATAATGGCGCTGGAACTGGGCATGCTGGAGCAGCGCACACAAATCATGGGCGGTATAGCCATATTCGACCTGGAAGATATCGGCACGCAGCATGTGTGGCAGGCCACGCCTACAGTCGCGTCAAGGATGATCAAACTTTTAGTGGTAAGATCCATAACTGTTAGCTTTTGTACGTAACTTTTCCTGCGTGGTCTGTGGAACGCATTATAATTTAAAGGGCTGTTTACTGGGACAAATAGTATCTTTTGTAGTTTAAGTTCTGATATTCAAGCATGAATTTTGACAGCTCCGTAATCGTATCGGTATTTTCAAAATTTGTATGGAAGGAGCCATAGTTTGTTCTTACGTCCAGTAGGGGCGCTGCTTAGTTTTCATAGAAACTATGACGATGCGATATGATTACGGAGCTGTCAAATTTAGTGCTTGAGCCTCTGGGGTTATGTTTTGTCATCCATGTCAATTTTATGTGATACTGCTGCGCTGACTTGGTTAAGCAACTTTCACAAGGGCCAGCAATGGGATGGGTGCCTCTAATATTTATTATCTCGAACTCCTCTGTGCTTTGGAAGGTACGTTAAGCCATTGCGTTTCCCGGCTGCATCTGCAGTCGTTAACATCAATCTAGACAGGGCACCGGTCATAGCCCAATCTCTCTATTTTATCTATGAGTAAGGCCTATGCCCCAACAGTGGGGACATGATCACTAAGAAAGGACTTTTAATATTTCTGTTTCATGATTTCAGTCCTGTTTCCCATCTGTCACACACGCCATTCACATCGTCAACCACGCCTGGCTGTTCGACAAGATCTACAATATCTTCAAACCTTTTCTCAACGCCGAAATGCGCTCCAAGATCTACTTTCACAACGAAATCGCTTCTCTACACAAACATATAGATTCAGACCACTTACCCGAACGGTATGGAGGCATTTGGCCAGACTATTCTTATACTATTTGGCTGGAGTCTTTGAGGAAAAACTTACAAGTAGCAAAGGAAATGCTGTCGAGCGGTTACAAGTTCCGCGAGGAAGAACTTTGCCCAGAAGTACTGAGAAAGTTGAAAGAAGAAGGGATCCGACTTGAATAACAGTTTTTTTTAATATTTATGGAAGTCGGACCTTAATAGTGGTATGGGACTTAGGAAGTATGGAAAACTAAATATCCTTCGAATCCATTTGTAACATAAGATTTTCATCCAACATTATTAAAAAATTGTAATTTATTTTTTATAAACATGTTTGTTTGTTTCACATTTGTGTTTAACATAGTCAGTAATTAGTAATTTATTATCATCTAAGTGTAAAAGCGAACCTAATGGCTTGTTCCCAAAGGCCAATTGACATGGTTATGGCTCCGGAGCACATTTGACGAGATTTTGCCTACCGTTTCAACCAAAACCTTATTATTATTTTGAACATGTTTATATTAACTCACTTCTTCCAACTTTTATTGTAAATTAGATTAGATGCGGGACTTAGTTCGTAATATTATTAGTTTTATGAAATCACACAGGAACCTTAAATTTTTCGTGATAAAAGGTAGGTATCATATGAGTCAATCTGGGCAAGAAACTACATTTAATATGCCAACTGTCATCGAAATCCCACTAAGCCTTTGCTTCGCTTTATCTACGGATGCCTTTTATATTGTAAAACCTTCCTTAAAAACAATATTGAACTGATAGACAAAACCACAGAACACAGAAAGAGGTTAGAAGAGTGATTAAAGACCTTTGTTACGGGAACCGATGTCGCCGCTCGGCCCCTCTACACTTCCATCTAATATATAATAGCCAATCAAACAACGCGACATCAAACAATCAAACCAATCAGCGCTCACAACCGAGAGCAACGACGCAATTAGAACCAAGTTTGAGCCTCGTATTATAGAAAGATTCTCAGTGATTGATCTAGTCTTGAGCATAGTGAGAAAGGGATGTCGCTATATATAGCACATAACGACATCCCTTTCTAACTGTACTCAAGTAAAGATCAACACTTAGTTGTCATTCTGTAATACGGGCCTTAGTGATGTAATGAATGTAATTTTTTGAACATTCGCATACGCATTCGTATTCGCGAATGCGTATGCGAATGTCTAGTACCGATATTTGCGAATGCGAATATTAAGGTTTTGTTCAAAATTGGTGCCAATTGTGTGACATGGTGGCGGTCTCGTTCGAATTTCCGAATTGATATGAACTCATCCGACTGAAGTGTCATTCCAAACGCGCCGGCCTTTTCGTAAATAAAACAAGTGAATTTTGAGGTTAGAGTTTGAATAGTGATTTGTTAACATGAGTAAATCAAATTCTAGTGAAATGTGGACTTATTTCACACTTTGCGATGCTGAACAAGCTAATTTCAAGCTGTGTCACAATAAATATTCAAGGAAAGGAAGAACTACAACTGCTATGAGAAATCATTTGAAGGAAATGCATACTGAGTTTTCCGTTTCTTTTAGTTTTGTCAAAGAAGATAATTAATATAATATTAAAATATAAGTAAAAAGTGATAAAAAATTATTAGAAGAATTTATTTTTGTTTGTTCACATTGCATTATTTATTTTGTTTTTTAAGATCTAATAAAAAAATAATTGTTAAGCTTCATTGCCCAAAGTAAAGAAAATAAATAAATGATGCCAAATGCTAAAGGAAAGGCTAATAATGGGATTACGAGGTTAAGTTAATTTTTCTTGTATTAAAAAACATAAGAAATTAATTCATTTTGATTTTATGAACATACCATTATCTTCAAATTGATTTTTTCTAATATTCGTATTCGCAAAACCATTCGCAGAGATTTTGCAAATGCAAAATGTGAATTCGAATATGCAAAAATATGCGAATATCCGCGAATGCGAATATTCGTTACATCTCTACCAAGTTTTGGTTAAGTTATGAGCATTTGCTCACACATAACTGTGGTGCGCTTGCCAGACCTTCTAACCTCTTTCTGTGTTCTGTGGTGAAAACCACATAAAAGTTCGTTTAGTAGTTTCTAAGTTTAACATGAAGATAATTATACAGACAGACGAAGGGGGATTCTAATTTTAATACATATTAGGATAAGTAATAACTAACCGAACATAAAAGATAATGTACATTTCTCAACCACGCATTAGCGACTGAACGGACGGATGAAATTTGGCTCTCAGCTATTATACCAGGATACTTTTATCTCGGAAAAATAATTTAAGTTCTTGTGGCATTCCCAAAAATGAACTACAAGATTTATTGGTCTACTACATTATATGTTTTGCCATTTTATCCTTATCCCTGGGGATTTTTAAATCTAAAACCTACATGGATAAAGTAATATATAAAAATAAATCCCTATTTCTCTTGGTGACTTGAGACTTAATAGATTTTTTAAGTTTTCAAATACTTTGTAAACGATTTTTACGAAAAAAAAAAAAGTTTGATTTTGAAACTAAGGCGGCTAACCTAACTAACTAATGTAAATGGGGACGAAGACGCGGGTGGAATTTAGTAATAAGTAATTTCGTGACATGTCATTTCAGAGTTTCTGTAATTTACAGTATTTTCCTTAAAATTATGTTCCAAGTGGGATCAAGTATGCATTATGTCGCAGGCATAAACATGAAGGCGTCCGAAAGTTGCCTGAAAATATTATGTAATTGGTCTAAGTTACCAAATCCGAAGTAGGCGAAAAATGATTCTGTCAATTAATATTCTAGTAGAGTATAGCTTTGATAAATGATTGGTCTCCCTGCGGTCGAACGCTGGATTTATATAAGTAGTATAGCAAGTGAGCCGTTATTCCATAGGAACTTCTAGATTTAAGCTAGTTTTAATGTTTTATTCCATAGAAAAACAATTCGTCAAAAACCTGTGATAAGGAAATGAAATTCGTTAAAACGAATAGATACAATTAGCTGTGTTTATTTCACACTCAATATTGTTATTTTATTTTACACAATTTGTCACCATGTGTGAATATTAATAGAATAAAATATTTTTACTCTGAAGGAAATTATAATTTATATCGAAATATTATTAAAATCACAAATTAAACTTACTTTTAACTTTTTCTAATAATATTACATTGATAGTATGTATAATATATGAAAATGAGTAAGTGATTACTTATACAAGCTAAAATGATTTAGTACTTATATAAGAGTACACTAAGCCTATACTTAATTAAATCTCAAAGATGTCAATTATTTTTTTTAATTCCAAGCTAATTTTAAGGACCCTGTGCTGTCACGTGTAATATATACGTGACCAAAGGAATCATTAGATTTAATTGACGTCTCTGAGCGTTGCTGTAAGACTTCTATATTGTGTGCCTTTATGATGTTTGTTTATGAAAGTTCAAATAGTTTATATTTAATTATTATCTACATATTGTAACATAAATTGAAATTTTTATTTTAAAACTAACACGCTGTTTAATTATTTCAATTCTCATAGTATATAAAAAAAGCTTACTGAATGAGTTATTGGCATGAATAGGGATGATGACGAGGTAAACTATACGAAATTTCATTTAGTACGTCAGTTTTATCAATAAATAAGGGACTAATTTTTGTTTTGTCAATCAATGTTATTGGTTGTAACAAAGAGCACGTAAAAGTTTGAGTGTCCGGGCACTTGACGTCACTTCTAAGTAAAAATGGTACCAAGACGTGACGTCATGCGACAACTCAAATCGATATATCTCTGTTATGTTTTGAATATGGGAAAAACGAAAAAATATGTCCCAAACTTTTTGATAATCTACCTGATGGACGAAGAGTAAAAGTAAGTCATAATTCCTTTTTTGTTATAGGTTCTGCACTAAACAACAAGTAGGTACTTATATAGGTTACTAATGAAGGCCATAGTAAAAGCTGTAAATCGATACTGCATTGTACTGTATTGCTTTGCTATTGATAACTTTTGTAATGTTCCTTCTTTTGCAATTTCGATGAGTAAACATAAAATATTATTTGTTATTTGTTTAAAAATTTCATGGTCATTAATATTAAAGGCCACGTATTTAAATGATCATTAATAGTAATTGATCGTCAAAAAAATACAATTGTCAATCGAACCTAACATCCAGGTTATCAATTGTATTTTTTAAGGTCGACAATTTATATTTTTTTTGAGAATCATTTAAATATTTTCCATATTATAGTACTTAACTTGCGACATTGCAATGACACGCTAGCGCTTCCGCTAATTACTATAAAACTTTTTTTTATGTTAAACTGGGGTGAAGTTTGAGAAATGAGACTTTCTAATTGCCGGCCTAGTGGGAGAGGCCATTGACCCTGGGCGGGAAACCTTATCTCTTAGCAGCATCCGCGGCGCGCCCCTTAGCGACAAACGTACCTACTTTAAGTTAGCAGAAGATTTTATTGGTTTTTGTGGCGACGCCGCGTCACTCTGGAACTTGTGAGCTGGGAGCGAGAGATGTGACGTTATCACCGTTCGAGATACGTCTGCAAACTTCGAGATTCCGAGCCAATGTATACCCACGAATAGACATGACCATTGTTGACGCAATCACACATTGTGATGTTTGTTACTATATAAAAATGTATGCAAAGATGAGCGAAGCCTAGGTCGGCAGATGTTTAGGCACTTATCCCACACAGAAGCTAGTAGAGCTAGAATATAGACATTTGTTAATCGCTCGGCTAAAAGCGAGGGTGCGGGTCCGACGGGCGATTATTTGCTGAGCGGGTATCGCTGAGCAGGTATCGCTGCGCGAGCTTGTCGCTCATCGAAAAACTAGTGGAGCGAGTTCTCGCCGGCAGTGGGAATAGTCAGCGATCAACTATGAATATATGCATCTCTTTTGTTTTTCACGGAATGTACACATATTGTACGTTTCTTGAGCGAGAAAACACCCGATAGTCAGTTGCTTCCTCGTATGCCTTATAGATCCAAACGGATGAAGTTCGTATAATGTTAGTACTTATGAACCACAAATCTGGAAATCCACAGTTATGACATTCAGTACCAGTGTTAATGGGAATATTAACATTTTCTTAAGATTTCAACATCTAGCAGTTAAATGCTTAAAAATAAAAAATATCAACAATGTTTTTTTTCTAACACTGATGTCCACAC